ACACTTTCCTTTGTCCATACATGCATTCTTCAAAAAAAACAAACAACAAAAGCATTAGGTCAAAGTCGATGATAGCCATACAAACTATGCTTTGGTGAATTATACAAACTTTATTTGATGTGTGTAAGAGCGGCTAAATTCTAGACATACACTATCATCGCTGGGTTGGTTTCTTTAAAACGTTACCCTTATGCAAATTTCCTGGATTTTTGTCCATATCACACTCACATCCTATAGCTTTTGATGTTCGTTACATAAATAACCGCTCACATTGAATCATCAGAATCTTCTGATTCACTTCTCTCCGGCTCAGCTTCGGTTGCAATATTATTATTGGTACTAGTCCCTGTCTCAGGAGCCGCTTCAGGCTTTCCACCAGGTGTATCAGCAGCAGGTGAAGAAGAAGAGACCTTGTTTGCATTATTACTAGTATTCTCATTCGCAACTGTTTCCTCTTGCTGCTCATTTACCTACACACACCCAAAAAAGTTCAGGTATAAAATGGACCTGACTTACGTAGTACTGAAACCAATATCAATTAAGCAATCAGACTAAAACAAACGTACGTTTCCGATTGTTCCACCACTCAAGATATTCAGCAAGTCTCTCTCAACGCGCTGTACAAGCTCCGGCTGCAACATTTTGAGGATGAACATATTACATCAGAACAAGAAACCATCCGTAAGTTCCAAATCACAACCTATTGGGTTTCCCAAGACCAACAGAGCTTTTCTACTTAATGTAACGGTTAAGAACTCTTTGATAATACAAAACAAAGGAAAGTTTACATTAAGGTCAGGCTCTCGACGGAATCTTCTCTTACGAGCATCCTTCATAGGAGGAGTTAGACCATGTCTGTATTCAACTGTATTAGGCGCAGGATCACCTGGCTCCCTAACCATGATCATCTGGCCAAATAAAAGCAATCATTATATGGATTTTTAGTCAAACAGAACACATGTAAGCAGTAGTTTTGAATCTATCATTAGTAAAATTGATATTTTACCTGCCCAATATCAGCAGTTTTGACTAATGCAGAATCATCATAAGTTTTAAAAGACTCAACAACAGCAGGAAGATCCAGGAGAGAAGCCGGGAACTCTTCGTCTCCAATCATAAACGTCCCGCTTCTCCCATCCTCTGCCCAAAACAGAAACGGTAATTTCAAAATGATCAAGTTTGATCCATAGACAAAAATGTTAAATGGATCACTAGACAAACTTTAATCTTTAAATCAGAGATTCAAGAATGACAAAACATTGAATTTACAGAAACCACAATATCAAGTTCCTCTAGGGAGACACTTTTTAAAACAGATTCAAGAATGATACGAAAAGAGTGTCTTATCAGCAAACATATTCAAGAAAGTATCAAATATCAATCCGTGAAACGAACCAGAGGAAAAAAGAATGAAACTTTGGAGGATCAAACCCAATTGAATGTGCTAAAAGAGACAAGAACCTTAAATTAAAGAGGAAGCCAAACCTGAAAAACACAAATCTAAAGGGATTTCGTCGGAAGTAGAAGCCTCGTCGCTTAAAAGACGATCTATTCGCTCTGAAACAGAGGGTGGAACCCTGAGTATGAACTGCTCCTCCATTGTATAAGAAGGGCTTGGCTTTAACGATGTCGTATGGCAAAACACGAGAGAATCCGTTGAATCACGAAGGATATTATTTACTCTGTTATGTAAGAAATCAGAAGTTCGAAGAGAGAGAGAGAGGCATATGAAACCGTCTCGAAGAATCAGAATAACTCTTTTATTATTTACCATTTCCCCCTATAAGTTTCATTTTCATACCCAAATAACACCAATGTCCTATTTATAAAATTTTATTATATAAAATTTTATTTTTTCAAAGTTACTAATTAACATGATTGCGACACATGTTATATATCTAATAATTAACCAAGCTTTATATAACAAGATTGTCAGTTATACATCTAATAATTAATCAAGCTTTATATAATAAAATTTTGACATGTGTTAACACTAATTTTCCTTTTATAAAATCATTACAAAAAGATAATTATAAAAAAATATTTGTTAATAATTATCCTTTTTAAAATCTTAAACCAAAAATTGTAAAAAAGTGTTTTATGTTAATTTTATTTTATTCAAATCTTAATTAAAAATATCATAAACCCAAAAGAACTATCATCATTCACATATTAACACAATTTTTAGAAAAAATACTATAATTTTTTTTACAAATATTATACCAAAAACGATCTTTAAATATAACTTATCAAATACTAATTTTCCTTTTCCAAAATCACAAAGAAAAAAATAATTGTAAAAAAATTTGAAATTAATTATCCTTAAAAAAACCAGAAAATTGTAAAAGATGTTTAATGTTAATTTTATTTTATTCAAATTCTAATTAAAAAGACAATAACCCAAAAAGAACTATAATTATTCATATATTAACAAGGTTTTTTGAAAAAAAAGTAATAGTAATTTTCGTTTTTTACAAATACTATACAAATTTTTTTTTTTAAAGTTATTTAATACTAATTTTCCATTTCTAAAATCATAAATATAAATATAAATGTAAAAAAAAATTGATAGTAATTATCCTTTAAAAATAATAAACCATAAAATTAGAAAAGAGTGTTTAATATTAATTTTTTAAATCCTAATTAAAAAGATCATAAACCAAAAGGAATAAAAATTATTTATATATATATAAGACTAAGCTCTCTCATATTTTGTCATTTCTCATATTTGATCACTAAACATAATTATTGATTTAAGAAAAATATTAAGTGAGTTTTTTGCATGATCTTTCACATTTCCGTGTGTTATTTTTTTAGTTATGATGATGTACAACGTAAGTTAACGTCGGTATTATGCTTATGTGTGTTTTTTTGTATTAACCATCTGAAATTAGTTATGCTAGGTAAATTAATGGCAATGCCAATTTACTACTTTTAATATGTTAATTTATGCTTATGTGTCTTTGTTATATTTATTATTTCTAACTAAAATCGTAATTCAATTTGCTACCATGAATCTTATCAAAAAACAATAGCTTCGGAAATTTATTTAACACTAGATCAGTTAACTAAGAAACGTCTTTACCATTGTACTGTAGTATGTTTTACTAGAAACTGGAAGCAAGAAATTAAACAAGAATATTGATTTTATAGGAATGAATTTTCATCTACTTGATGAGAAGGTAAATATTTTATTTATTAAAAAAACTTATATAATTTCATTATTAAAAATAATTTATTTATTATGTAAGAAAATACTATTAAAGGTTATGTACATTATTATCTTATTGAAAAGTTGAGAGATGGGTTATGTGAAGGAATCCTTATTGAAATATGCAATTTTAATTTGTAAAATTGCAATAAAACTATGAACTCTCAGATCATAAATTTCAGATAAGATTAACCAAAAGAACAACAAGTGCATGTGTGGAAAAAAATTACCTCAAACATCGTCTGAAATTTTTCTTTTCAAAATTATAAAGATTTTGCTCAACTGAAAGATTCCATACGATTTATATGGTAATATTCATAATTTTATATTAATTTTTTGTATCAATTTGGTTGTCGAACATTATATATTTTATCGATTGATTGGGTATTTGTAATGAATTTTTCTTGAAATAACATTATTGGATAACACGATTTTGTTACAAATGTAATCAGATATATAAATAATATGGAGAAAATAGATGTTCGTAATCAGACACCACATGTCCTCTGAAAAGTTATTCTAATTTTATTGTTAGGAAGATAATTTTTTTAAATATAATTCTATTAATGAACTTGTAACTATAGAATAAATCTCACACAACTTATGCAAAAAAATACTAAATCTATAATAAAATTATTTGTTATTTTTATATTCATTATGGAATTAAAATACCAAAAAAACTCGTTGCAACGCACGGACTTGATCTAGCTGCTTTATAATTCTCTAGATTTTGATGGTAACATTATGAACCTAACATAATCAAAACTAGGGATTGATCTGCATGTTCGTGCGCGACGTTAAGTTCTTATAATTTATAAACTAATATTTTATTTTATAACTAGTGTTTATATATTTTATATGTGTTATCATATAATTAATTATATAAGTATCTGAATATTTTAAATTTTTATACATCAAAATCGAATCCTAATTAAATAAGTTAATATGGTTAAATTTATTTATTTGTTTTTTATAGTTTGAATTCAAAATACACAAACCAAATCGGCTAATATGGTTATTTTGATATAATTAGATACAATAATTTTTTTGATATTTTAAGGTTTCTATATATGAAAATCGAATCCATTGAGATTTGGAATATCTGATTCGAAATCCACCCAAAAATTTTTAATACCCGAATGAAACCTAATTTCAAAACTAAAAAAATGATGTCTGAAAGAAATAACTCGCACATGAACGGATATCCGAGTGTTTATATCTAAATGATTCTGTAAAAAAGTACAGAAAAAAATCTTTGTTAAACCTTTTGAATTCTTGTTACAAATGGAGTAAATTCATTCAAACATATCGAATTAGTATGGTTAATATATAAAAAAATGATGACAAAATATTGTACTAAAAATAATTAATGAAATAACTAAAAAGAGTGAGAAAATATGTAAAATATATAATAAATCACTTCAAAATAAGTAAGATATGTTTTATATTTCTTAATTAATGAAGTCGAATTATTCAAGAAAAAATAATAATTGAATTGATTAGATTTTAATTAAAAATTGAAGGCAAATCTGTAAGAAATCATTTCAAAATATACAAGAATTGTTTTGTGCTTCATTTAAAAAAAAGAAGTTCACTTTATTTTACCTAAAAAGGAAACCAAAATTAAAACTATCAAGAATTAAATCTTTCAAGGGAACATTCTATCAGATAAATTCTTTGAGGCCAAAAACAGTAATTAGCAATATTATGGGGGTTAAAATGTAAAGATAAAAACTATATAAAACCCTAACAGCAACGCCTTCTAATTCGATCATTAATCCGTCTTGTCACCGCTTCTTCTGTTATTCTATCGCCGCCGTTCGTCACCACCGATCTTCGTTCTCCGGTAAGTCTTTTCCATTGTTAGTTTTCTCGTTTTCTACCGTATATACCTGACATGATTCTGACATGATTCTTTATCCTGTACACGGCTTCGTAGTAGTTTAAGGCTCTTTGGTTGTCTGTAAAGATTGTATTTTTAGTCTTCTTTCAAGGATTGAATCGCATCGTCGTAGACCCAAAAGTTTTCGTCTTTTTTGTGTCTATGCACATAAAACTCTTCTGAGTCGATTCTGTCTCCATGTGAACTGTTTGCGATCTCAGTTAGTTTTTGGTATAATATTAGTTTTAAATTGGAACAGAGATGATCTTTCTAGATCAGAGACTTGTTGTATCATGGTAATTATCTCTGTGACATGTTCTGTGATTGTCCCAATTCTTAGGTTGAAAGACTGTTTTATGTAAGTATTTTTAGGGGTTGGATTTGGTGATTTGAATCCAAATTGAATGCTTCTTTGAAAGACTGTTGTATTCTAGTGTTACAACTCTTGCGTTTATTTTCGTACCTGATTTGCTTCTGTTGATTGGCTGATAGAGAAGTTGAAAGCTTGTTACAATGAGGGGAAGGAGCTACACTCCGTCACCACCACCAAGGGGTTATGGGAGGAGGGGTCGATCCCCAAGCCCTAGAGGAGGCCGATATGGAGGTCGTAGTGTTGACCTACCTACCAGTCTTTTGGTTCGCAATCTACGCCATGATTGCAGGTACATACATACTTGATTTCTCTTTTTGAATCCCTTCTTCCAGTCTTTTCTTTTTTTTTATGCATACTCTACATGTCATCCTTTTCTTCAGGCAAGAAGATCTCAGGAGGTCATTTGAGCAGTTCGGACCCCTCAAGGACATTTACATGCCAAGGGATTACTATACTGGGTGAGCATGTTTACTAGATGTTACACTTACTGTTTAAACACTTGATTTTTTCCCTCTGTTCTAGTTAGATAATATCTCCATTTTCCTGAATATCTGTTTACTAGGGTTAGTTCTCTTCCCTTTTCCATTTTTCCATTTCCGTTTGTCTCCTCATGGATACTAGGGTCTTACCAGAATCTTCTAATATGCTCTTATTCCATAAACCATAATTAACCTCAATTTTCTTTCATAGTTTTCTATGACATGAGATCTTCACTTGAAGCCTTAAACCCCTAGTTTTCAATAATTCAGTGTCAATCAAAGAAAGAGTGTCGATTACTTCTTTGAATTTAGTGCCTGTTCAGGCTTCAATGTTGCTTGATATGTTTCATGGGTGAACGTACTATGTGTGTGTGTTATTGAAGTTGTTGAGGTTTAGCAGTGCTAAAGAATTGAAGACATCAAAGAAGTAAATAGAGATTTTATGAAGTTGTTATGTATGGTAGTGAAAGAGTTGAAGTGAAGTTGGGTTTGTCTTCGATTTGAAGATGAAACGAGTCTTCATGAAGTCATTCTTTATACTGAAACTTGCGAAGTTAGCAGGCAAGTGCTTGCTTATTTCATGTGATATCTTCTGTTGCAGGGAATCATATTGCGAGCTGGCTTGTAGTAAAGTGGTACATTTTCATCGTCATTTTGAATGCTTGGTTCCTAGTCTGAGATCCTGTTTTGTTCAATATGCAGAGATCCGCGAGGGTTTGGTTTTGTTCAGTTTGTGGATCCTGCTGATGCTGCTGAGGCAAAATATCAAATGGATGGTTATCATCTACTTGGCCGTGAGCTGACTGTTGTTTTTGCAGAAGAGAACAGGAAGAAACCTACTGAAATGAGAGCAAGGGAGCGTGGTGGAGGAAGAAGGTTCATGGATCTTTCTCTTTCTTTTTTTTTTCAGTTTATCATCAATATCAATAAGTCCTTAATGTAGAGCGATGCCAATAAACCTGATCTTCAAAATTCTTTCGTGTTCGTAGGAGCATGAGCTCTCGAGACAGAAGGCGTAGTCCCCCTCGTTACTACTCTCGCTCTCGCTCTCGCTCTCGCTCTCGCTCTCCTCCCCCTCGACGTGGTAGATCTCGGTCACGGGGTGGTGATTATTATTCTCCTCCCTCTAGAAGACATCATCCGAGGTTTTTAACTCCATTACACACCTGTCTGCACAAACAATCATTCTCCGCTCGAGTAACATTTTTAATGCTCACCATCTCTCTATTGTCGCAGGTCTATCTCTCCCAGGGAAGAACGATATGCTAGGGGAAGGTCATACTCGCGCTCACCCGACTATAATGGCTCCAGGGGTCGCAGTGTAAGTCCAGCTAGAAGTAAGAGCCGCAGCATAAGCCGTAGCCCGAGTCCAAGAAGAAGCATTAGCCCTAGTCCGAGGAGAAACATAAGCCGTAGCCCGAGCCCCAGGAGAAAGAGGAGCAACACACCTATACCAGCCAGAAGCCGCAGCCCTAGGAGAAAGAGGAGCAACACACCTATACCAGCAGGAAGCCGCAGCCCGCGTGAGGAGCAGTACGAAGACCGTTCACCAAGCCAGTGATTGGTTCTTTGCTCTCTTAATAGTCGTCTCTCTGTTTTTCTTATCCCAAGACAAAGTTATGATGATTTGAAAAGACGAGATATATGTGGGGTCGAATATTGGCTTTTGTGTTTTGATTCCGTTGAGTTTTTTGGAAACATTTAGTAGTAAAGGGAATGCGAGTTACAACTCCGGTAGGCTTTTAGATTTTGTCCTCTTGTGTTTAACTAATTTTTATTGGTTAGGACCAAAACCAACCAGTAAAATGGAAATAAATATTCACCAGCATGCAGGAAAAGCGATAATTTGTATTGAGATAGAGATAAAGGGATGTGGAAGACAGGATTGAGAAGCGATGACTATGTGAAAGCTGGAATGATTCCGGAAGACATCAAAGGACATGACAGTGGTGAGACAAGTTTTTTGCTGACTTTTTATCCCACAAATGCAATACAGACGCATCCTTCAAGAAGTTGTGTATTTTCAGTGTTAAAAAAAGAAAGACAATCATGATAAATGCTCTGGCAGTATATAAAAAAGACAATCAGGTGGGCAAGAGAGATATCATATACTACAATATTAATCGTTGACTAGGTTTATAATTCTGACTTTAATTAATCAAATCAGAGTTGACGAGGCAAATAAAAAAGAGTGTGTGTGGCCAAATTTTTTTGTGTTTTAAATCTTCCCATGTTTTTTTAGTACACAAGAAAAATACTGTTCCATTTCAATCATCATTTTGTTTTCCGTTGCAAGATTTCATTAGAAGGGGGGGAAAACGAATTAATGGAGAGAGAGAGCTTTGACGTAACGGACTATGACTGGGACACAGAGAGAGAGCTTTGACGTAACGGACTATGACTGGGACACAGAGAAGAGCAGCGACCTAGGTTCAGTAGTGAGCGGATCATCACCTTTGATCCGTGGAAACTCGGTAAGCGTGAAGGATAAACGGACAGGTCTCGCGAAGCGGCTCGCCTCTATTTCTGACCAGGTGAAGCTCTTCACATCTGTCTCTCGAGAGAGTAGGCTAGCTAGATCAGACCGGCGTAAGTCAACGGCCTTTGAAGGGCTCATGTTCATCAGTAAGGCTGACGCTGCTACCGGCTGGACCGCCGTGGAAAGGCGCTTTGATGAGATCACGGGCACTAGTGGTGGCTTGCTGCCAAGGTCAAAATTTGGACAATGCATCGGTAAAAAAAATTATACAAACTAGAGAAAATGTTGAACCGAAGAAATGATCATAATCACAATATTGCGATTTTAGGGATGGACTCGGTAGACTTTGCACTGGAACTGTTCGATGCATTAGCTAGAAGACGGCATATTACAACAGATATAATCGATGGCGACCAGTTAAGGGAGTTCTGGGAACAAATAAGTGATCAAAGCTTTGATACCAGGCTTCAAACCTTCTTTGACATGTAAAGATATCTTAAATCATTATCTATTTTAATATATTTTTATGCATTTATCTGGTTTTTCTAAAAGTCTAGGTAATAAATGTGAGTTTAAGACAAAAGGGTTTGTGAAGTGCAGGATTGATAAAGACGCCGATGGTAGATTAACTGAAGACCAAGTCAAACAGGTAAAAGTTTTACACTAATTAATTATTGTGTTGCATGTTAATTTATGAAAAACGTTCATTCTTAAATATCAAATATTTTGGGTTCATATATATATATGGAATATCTTCACAGACGGAAATACGCTGAGAAATTGTAAGTTTATATATTAGAAAAATGACACAATAAACTGGAATACCAAATAACAATCATCATTCTAAAAATGTTTTTCTTTAAAATATGAAAATGTTTATAATAGGTGTAATCTAATCTGTCTTTTTGTTTGTTTCGCAGATCATCAACCTTAGTTCATCCACCAACAATTTGCCGAACATAAAAAAAAAGACAGAAGAATATGCAGCAATGATAATGGAAGAGCTTGACCCAGATGATGTGGGATACATCATGGTAAAAGATTTCTTGATGATGATTATATGAGAACCAATATATATTTCAACACGCTTTCTCCATCTAACTCTGTGGTGAATCTAAAACAGATAGAGAGTTTTGAGACCTTGCTTTTGCATGCGGAAACACAACATATACGCAGGGATAGTGAAGACAGCAAGAGGCTAAGCCAAATGCTAAGTCTAAAGCTTAAGACTACTCGTGACCCTAAACCGTTAAAGAGATGGTACAGTGGACTGAGACACTTCGTATCAGATAGCTGGCAAACGGTGAGTACTTTTAGGTTCAACATTATCAATAATCTTAAATCTCATGATTGAAAAATTTAACTAACTCAAAGGGTTTAACTTGCTCTAGACGTCGATGTACTTGGCAGTACCAGTAGCTTTGCCTGCATGCGAGATATTAATAAGGCCATTCAGATCAAGTATCAACACGGTAAAGATTTTGAAAGTCACTGTGTATCCTGGAAACGTGTTGAGTTTGTACATGTCAAGGCCAACAAAATTCAAATACGAAAGCGGTCAATACATGTTTCTAAACTGCCCAACAATCTCAACATTTGAGTGGTACGGAAAAATACTTAACACTCTTAGAGAGTCAATAACCCTAGCGAAACTTATGTCAATGACATTTTTCACATGATAATGTCTCCAGGCATCCATTTTCAATAACTTCTTCGCCTCAAGATGATTATCTGAGCATCCATATAAAAGTATTGGGAGATTGGACAAATGCTCTCAAAGAAGTTCTCTATGAGGTCTAATTTATATAAATCATTGTATATGTTAAAGAGGAAAGACAGCTTAAGTAACATGTTGGGTTATGTATCAGGTGTGTATGCCACCTCCGGTGTGTCATGTTAATATTGATATGGTAGACCAACCAAGTTTTCCCAAAATCATGGTCGATGGTCCATACGATTCACCGGCACAGGACTACAAGAAATATAAGGTGGTTTTACTGGTCGGGCTTGGGATTGGGGTCGCCCCAATGATCAGCATTATCAAGGACATCATCAAATATACGGAGGCCCAACTCAACGGAACAGTGACTCGAAAGGCTTACTTCTACTGGCTAACAAAGGAGCAAGGCTCATATAATTGGTTTGAAAACATCATGAATGAGGTAGCAGAACGCGACACAAATGGGGTCATAGAAGTAAATAACTATTGCACTAGCGTCTACGAAGAAGGAGATGTTCGTTCTGCGTTCATACAAATGCTTCAGTCTCTGAACTATTCCAAAAACGGTGTGGACATTGTCTCTGAGACAAGGATCATGACTCACTTCGCCAAACCTAACTGGCAAAACGTCTACAAACAGATAGCCATGGATCACTCTGGCTCTCATGTTGGTAAGCTCTATCTCAGTGCACTTATGGGAATGTTTGCATAAATTTGCATGATTATATGTCACTGTCACATCATGTAAATACTAGTTTAGCTTCAATAGTTGTACTCGTTGTAAAGCATTGGTGTATCTAATAGCATTCATTGATCTAATTAGTTAATGACACAAAAAAAAACAGGGAATAGTATGAAATAAAACAAAACTATATAAACGTGCAGGAGTGTTTTATTGTGGAGAAGTCGCATTGGCAGATGAGTTAAGGCAGCTAGCTTTGGAGTTCACACACAAGACAGCAACTAGATTCTCCTTCCACAAAGAGAACTTCTACCCACAATGCTGATAAATAATGATGACACACCAAGATGATTAATGAAATAACTTTGGAGTAAGTGTGTCATAGGACTCATGTTTGTGTGTTTGAAAGTTACGGTTGTGCTTTTTTCAGAATAAAACGTGTGTTGTGATGATTAAGAATGTGAAGTAAGTGTGCCATGTTGAGGCATTTTCAGTTTCAGTATACAATATTAGCAATCAAGTTTAACATGACGTAATGTAATAAATATAGTATTTTTTATAAACCAATCTGATCGGTTTTGGGAGGAATGCACTCGGTACTACACAGTAACACATTAGACTATCTCGAAAACATATCATATTGTCTGATTTAAGTTTAGAATACCAGAGGTAGATCGATCATATGTTATAACCCACTATGTTAACCATCCTGAACTTTCCATGTTAATTACCTGAGTCGAAATCTGAATCTAAACTGATCAAATAATAATAATATAGTCCCCAATAAAAATCAAATCATAATTGATGTGAACACACACTAAATTCCAAAAGATTGTCATTGAGCTATCACCACCATTTGGTTACAATTGATTGAATAACAATGTCATTTTTTGTTCTATAAAAAACACTTTTTTCTTTTCTTTCTCTTATTCCTTCATTGGAGCCTATGATTTGATGAATAGAGAGTCAGCCAAATTAGATTCATGCATATACTTGGTGAAGGCTACACAGTCCTATACATATTGATTATACTTACATATGAGAAATATTACATAAATGACGCTATAACTGATAGTTATATATATCTTATTAAAACTAATGTCTAATTGCATCACATTAAGCCCTTTAATGTGATTCAATCTGCCAGTTTTATTTACATTTTGAAAATGTCTTATAAATATTTTTCTATTAATTTACATATTTTTCCTTTTTTCTTAGATTTAGTTCACTTTTTAAACATAAAGTAGCCTGAGGATTTGGTTCTCAGTTCAGTTAGGCTCTTTGATTCTTGAGTTCTAAATTCTTACGATCCGTTTAGGTATTTAGGAAATTCAGTTCGGTTTCTGTACAATTAGTTTTAGTTTTTGGTTCGGTTTGTGTAACAAAATTAAGAATTAACTAATACCTGAGGTAATTCATGTCTCATTCGGTTACGATTCGATTTCTGTTTTTCGGGTCATTCAGATTAAAAATTCAGAAAATCAGATTTAATATCAGATTTTTTTTACTTAATTTTTTGGATAATTCGAATAATTTAAAATATTGCAGATATAAAGTATTCTGACAGTTTTTCGTACTTTGGTTTATAAATAATATTAAAAAATAGATTTGGTTATTTTAAAAATTAAATATAGATCATGTTTATAAGTATAGAAATTCGGATACTAAGGTTTCGACTAATACAACATATGATAAAGCAGTAACAGTATGTTGTAGAAGTTGTATGCTGTAGAAATGTATGTTTTAATAAAAAATTTAATACAGTGATTGACAGAGCAGCAGTAACATTATGTAATTTTAAAATTATAATATAATAATATATATATTTTAAAATAATTTTTATATATATAATATATATTAATAAAATATTGCTATTAAAATAATAAATCTTAGTCGTTATATAAGTTATATTATAGTTTCTAGGTGAAATATTATTATTTAAAAATTAAAAATTTATTTTAAAATAATAAATTATTTAGATATAAACATAATTTTTAATATGATTAAAAAAATAAATTAATTATATGTAATTATCATTATTTATTTTTTGGTAGAGCAGTAAATGATTCATGTATAACATTATCATAAAAATTAATATATGTTATATAATTTATTTATTGTGGAAGCTCCCTTGGTCTAGCGGTTTGATTGAGGGTTCATTAATACTTCTACACTAGGAGGTCCAAATTTCAATCCCCGGCGAAAGCGATTTATTAAAACAATTATGCTTGCTACGAAAGAAAAGCTTACAAGAGATCTTCAACATGGTGCAAGTAAACTTGGACAGGCGTGAATCTTCATAGGACGGCTCAGGTGATGCAGTTAGGTATAGATCATCATAAGGCATGTAGTATTTTCGATTTTCGAATCGTCTATGTAATCTTTTTCATAATTGGAATATCATAATAAATCATGGTTAAATTTTATTTATTTATTAGTGTCTAAGTAATATATATATATATATATATATATATGTTTTTATCTATAATCTAGAAATATATATTATGTTATGTTTGTTATTAAAATTATATTATAATTTAAATGTGAAATATTGTTGTTTTTTAAAAATTTAAAAAATTTCATTACAATTTTTATTTTAAAAATATGAATTTAGTTGTTGATTATAAAATATATCTTATATTACTAAATAAGTATAAATTAATCATCTATCTAAATAATTTCAATCGTGCCAAATACAACCCGAAAAAGCTGTCAATGCCAAATACAACCTGAATTACATTATAATTTAAAATAATTACCTGAATTTTTTAAAACGTGTCTAAACCTACATTGACCGTAACAAAAGTTAGTCAACCGTTAAAATGATAAAACATCGTTTTTTTGATTTTATTATTTTTTCAAAAATATGCACATTTTGGGACTCAAACCTGTACCTTATCACTCTAAACAGTCACATCAACCACTAGACTAAATAAATATTTTTAAATATTACTATAGATTTGCAATTATATATGATATTATACTTTTTCATCTTTTCTAACTAAAACTTTGGTTATAATTATTTTTGATTCTTATAAATATATTAACATATTTAATAAAATTATAAATATTAAAATATAAATAATAAAATATTTATTATACAAAATTAAATATATTTTATGTTTTACAACTATTTACAAAATGTCCATATATAGATTATTCTAAAATATTTAAAACTTGAATGTTAATTTCTTTTGTTTCTCAAAATTAATATAAGTTGAATATACTTTGCCAGAATAAAAGAAATTACAATTCAAGTTTAAAATTTTGAAAATAATTTATATATTAACATTTTGTAAATAGTTGCAAAACAGGAAACATATTTAATTTTATATAGTTATAAATATTCTAATATTTATATTTACTATAATATAAGTTTATTAAAGATATAATAATTAAAAAAATGTTCATATATTTATAGGAATCAAAAATAATAATAAGCAAAGTTTTAATTAGAGAAGATGAAAAGTATAGTAGCATATATAATTGTAAATTGGTAGTATTATTTTAAAAAATTGATTTAGTCTAGTGGTTGATATTTCCATTTTAGAGAGTGACAAGACACGGGTTCGAGTCCTGAAATATGTATATTTTTAAAAAAAAATAATGAAATCAAAACGACATTGTTTTATCATTTTAACGGCTGACTAACTTATGTTACGGTCAATGTAGGTTTATGCACGTTTTAAAAGGTTCATGTAATTTTTTTGAATTATAACATGCACTAACAGTTTGTTCGGATTGTATTTGACACGATTAAAATTATTTGGGTTGAGATATGCATTTTTTCTCATTGAGCAAAAAGCATTTGGAAAGTATTAGAATTTAATAATTATTTTTAAAATGTTTTTTTGGTAAATATTGATTAGATAATAAAGAGCATAATAATATTTATGCTATTTCTATTTCAATCAAGTCTGAATTCAGTTTTCATTTTGGTTTTAATTTTTCG